CCGCTGCCCGCGTCGGCAGCGCGGGCCCGGGCCCTCACGTACCTGGTTGAACTCTTCGCCCACATCGGCGTAAATGTCTATATGGTCCACACCGTCCGCCATCTTCTCTCGGCCTCGGCAGCCGCCGCCGCCGCCTCCTGCAGGTTCGCCCGCCGCGGCAGCAGCAGCGGATCTGGCGGCGGGGGCGGGGCGCGCTGCGTCACTTCCGAGGCCTAAGACGCGAAGGCGGGGGCGGTCGGGGGCGGTGGTCGCCTCTGCTGCTCTACCGCTCGGCGGGTTGAGGGGGAAAACTGCCGGTCCGAGGGCCGGGCAGTTTCTTTTGTGTATGTTTGGGGGTGTGTGTGTGTGTGTTCTGTGTGAGGGTGATCAAACAAGCCTGCGTTTTCCTGTCCTCGCACTGGGCATGTCAAGTCGTCCCTTTAGTTTTGCAGAGATTGTCTTTTTCACCGGGCCCTTTAGGACGTTCAAACGTGTTTTTTGAGTTTTCCCAGTAAAATATGTTCATTTTCCCTTTCATATCTCAGCCAGAGCTTCTAGAGAGACGTACATTATTCGCCCCTGACTGTATAGAATGAAAATTCAGGCGAGCTATGAGCGATTTATTCCTGCTTCCTTAGAGATCATGTACATTATAAACACTAAATGCCTGTCAATGGTTATCTAATTTGCATGCTATTTTATTCTGTTTTATGTTTCCACCTCTAGCTCTAGCCAGCTTATTTCATACATGCCGCCTACCTTCACGGCTCCACTCCCTGCTTATTGCTTCTTACTTCCCCCCCTTAGATCAGCAATTGGCTTTTTCTGGATTAGTTGACATGCCTCTAACTTGAATGCAATCCTTTTCAGAGTTCACGCTGCCTCTTGAAGCAAGGAACATCTTCCTGAAAATAATAGAAAATCCACGTGTAAAAGAAGTGGGAAAATGCCATTAGATCTAAACTTTATTTTTTTTCACAATTGAGAACTCTGAGGCCTAACTGAATGGCACAGTGTGAATAAATTATTAAACGATCTCGCTCCACTTTGAAACTGCTGTGTTCTTTGTTTTTAGCTCAATTAAAGTGTCTTTGCTTATATACAGGCAGGTCAGAAAGCATTCCTATAGTTAATCCAAGCAACATCTGCTCTTGCCATCGTCATAAACCCTTGAACTTTGGTTGCGGTCATAGAGAACACTCTGATTATTTGGGTACAATTATTTTTCTAAGATTTAGATGAACTTCAAGTTAGGTTATGTAACCTGTCTCATCAATCATGTCGTGTTATGTGCCATCGAGTGGCGTGCAACTCATAGTGATTCTATGTACAACAGCTCTGAACCGTGCTTTATCCTGTGCCAACCTTATTGTCTCCGACACACCTACCTTCATTACCCCAGTCACTAAATCAATCCATCTCATTGAGGATCATCTTCTCTTGTACTGTCCCTCCACCCTCCCAAGCATGATGTCCCTCTCCAAGGACTGGTCTCTTCTTACAATATGCCCAGAATATGTCAGATGAAGCATCAGAATCCTTGCCTCCAAGGAGCAGTCTGGTTTCACCCTCTCTAGGACAGATCTGTTTGTTCTCCTAGCAGTCCAAGGTATATTCAATACTCTTCTCCAGCACCACAATTCAAAGGCATCAATTCTTATTTCATCACTAGTCATTGTCCAGCTTTTTGACACATAACAAGTAATTGTGAAGACTGTAGCCTGGATCAGGTGCACCTTCGTTTCCAGCCTTGACATCATTGCTCTGGAGAGGTCACTGATAGCAGACATTCCCAGTACAATTCGAACTTTGATTTTCTGACTGCTGGTGCCAACAATGTTGATGTGGAGCCAAGCAAGCTGACGCTGTTAACAATCTCAGTCTCTTCACTGTCTATCATGATGCTGCCAATCGGCCCATTGGTGAGAATCTTTGTTTTCTTGATGTTGAGCTTCAATCCATATTGAAGGCTGCACTCCTTGACCTTCTGCAGCAAGTACCTTAGGTCCTTCCTCCTCAGTTTCAGCAAGCAGGATTGTGTCATCTGCATAATGAGGTTGTTGATTAGTCTTCCGCCAATCCTGATGTCACATTCATGCTCATAGAGCCTAGCCTTCCAGATAATCTGTTCTGCATATACATTGGCATATAGATCTGGCATATAGTCTTTCTGATTTTGAACCATGCACTGTTTACTTGCTCTGTTCTGAGGACTTCTTCCTGGTCCAAGTATAGGTTTCTCATAAGCATAATCAAGTGTTCTGAGATTCCCATTCTTCTCAAAGTTAATCAGTTTGTTGTGATCCACAGTCAAACGCCTTTGCATAAGCAATGAAACACAGATAGACATTCCTCTGGTACTCTCTGCTTTCAGCCAAGATCTATCTAACATTAGTTATAATACGCCTAGTACCATAGCCTCTTCTAAACCCAGTCTGCACAACTGGAAGTTCTCTGTTGATGCACTACTCCAGTCATTTTTGGGTAATTTTCAGCAGAATCTTGCTTGAATATGATATTAATGACATTGTTCGAAAATTTCCACACTCTGTCTGGTCCCATTCTTTGGTATGGGAAAAATATAGATTGCTTCTAGTCAGTTGGCCAGGTGGTTGTCCTGCAGATTTCTTGGCATATCTTGGTGAGTGCATTCAGGACAGCATCTGTTTGTTGAAATATGTCATTTGGTATACTATCAATTCCTGGGAACTTGTTTTTTGCCAGTTCTTTTAGGGCAATTTGAACCTCCTCCTTCATCACCTCAGGCTCTTGATCATATGTTGTTTCCAGAAACTCTTCTATGTCAGACAATGTAGTTCTTCCATCTTCTTTCAATGCTTCCTCAGTCATTCAACATTCTACCCACAGCATCCTTAAGTATTACAGCTCAAGACTAAAACTTTTTCTTCAGCTTAAGTTCCTTCAGCTTAAGAAATGCTGAGCAAATTTGTTCCTTTTGATTTTCCATCTCCAGCTCTTTGCACATTTTAATACTTTGTCTTCCCGTGTTGCCCTTTGAAATTTTCTATTCAGGTCCTTAACATCTTGATTTCTTCCCTTTGGTTTGGCTTCTTGGCATTCTGATGTAATATTCAGAATCTCTTCAGACATCTGTCTTGGTGTTTTCTTCTCCCTTCATCTTTGTAATGACCTTTTACATTCTTTATGGATGATATTATTGGTATCCTCCCACAGCTCATCTGGTCTTCTCTTATTAGTATTCAAGGCTTCATATCTGTTCCTGAGATGGTCTTTAAATTCTGGAGGGATAAAATCAAGGTCAAACTTTGGTTCCTGTGGATTCTATTTTATTTTCTTTAGTTTCAGTTTGAGCTTTCTTATGAGTAGTTTGTGATCTGTTCCACAATCAGCCTCTGGTCTAATTTTCATAGCTGATACTGAGATTCTCCAGTCATTTTTCCTCAGAGATATGATCAATTTGATTCTTGCATAGGCCATCCAGTGAGGTCCATGTGTGTAGTAGCTGTCTGTGTTTCTTATAAACATATTTACAATGAATATATCATTGATTGAACTGAATTCTGTCTCCAGCCTCATTTCTGTCAACAAGTCCCTGTTTCTTGACTATCAATTCTTCTTCCCTGTTCCCAGTTTTTGCATTACAATCACCCATTGTTACTAAATCATGTTGGTTGCATGTTCCATTGATTTCCTATTTCAACAATTGGTAGCACTTATCTATTTCCTCCTCTTTGGCTATAGTTGTTGATACATAAATTTGAATGATAGTGGTATTAATTTTATTCATTGTATGCATATGGATATTATCCTGTTACTCACAGTAGAGAAGTACAAAAGAAATCATTGTGTATAGCCATTATTAACATATTCTGGATATTCCCCCCCCCCAAAAAAACTGTATTTTTTAAATTTTTCAATAGAAAATTGACAGAAAAAGAATAAAATAATTTGAGAAATACTAGTAAAGATGAAAAAGGGTACATTAAAAAATTAGCTTTCTATTTACAGTGTCACTCTGGCAACTAAGGTGCATCTGATACAGGCCATGGTCTTTGCAATCACTTGCTATGCATCAGAGAGCTGGACAATGACTAGAGATGATAGAAGAATTGAGGCCTTTGAGCTGTGGTGTTGGAGAAGAGTATTAGGGTACCATGGACTGCTAGGAAAACAAACAGATTCATCCTGGAGAGGGTTAAACCATGCGACTCCTTGGAGGCAAGGATTCTGAAGCTTTGTCTGACATACTTTGGAGGTGTTGCAAGGAGGGACCAGTCCTTGGAGAGGGATGTCATACATGGGAGGGTGGAGGGACAGTGGAGGAGAGGAAGACTCTCTGTGAGGTGGATTGATTCACTGACTGAAGTAATGAGGGTGGGTGTTTTAGAGACAGTGAGACTGGCACAAGAGAGAGCAGGGTTTAGGGCTGTTATACATAGGGTCACTATGAGTCACAGGTGACTCGAGGGCACATAACAACATTTAGAGATAATCCTACTCACATTTCATGTAAATTTTCCAGGTATTTTGATGCACATGTGCAAAAATACATTTTGCATTTTAAAAAAATCCTGTCACAGTGTATATTATTTTAAATTTTAAATATAATGGAAATTTTATATCAATAAGTATTCTTCTATATCACATTAACGTGAGACAGAGCTTCAAAATACTAGACTTCAAGGAGAAACTTGATTTCACCGTCTCCAAGACAGGCCTGTTTGTTTACTTGGCAGTCCATTAGATGTTCAAGACTCTTCTCTAGCACCACAACTTGAAGGCATCGATTTTTCTTCTGTCATCCTTAGTCATTGTCCAGCTTTCTGATGCAAAGCAAGTAACTGTGAAGGCCATGGACTGGATCAGGCGCACCTTAGTCTCTAGACAGAGGTCACTATGGGACGCAGGCGACTTGATGGCACACGACAACAACAACAACAATATCAATTTAATGTAGTTATACAATACATTGTGTAACTTTAACCATATTTTGACTCAGAGAGAGAAATGAGGCTGGAGATAGATAGAAAGATAGAATTTTGCACATTCAATTATTTATTCATTGCAAATACCTTTTATAAGAAACAGACGCAGGCTATACACATGGATTTCACTTGATGGTATGCATAGGAATCAAATAGTTTACATTTGTGGAAAGACTCGCGGGAGAAGCTCAATATCAGCTGTGAAGACCAGGCCAGGTGCTG